GTGTGTGTGTGTGTGTGTGTGTGTTCGTTCCTTCTGCCAGGAAGAGCCCCCCCCCCCCCAGGCCAGAGCAGCACAATGAGCTTTTCCGCAGCCAGCAAGCAGGGCAGGTGAAGGCCAGAATGCAAGGAGAACTTGGGTCATTGAGGCTGCAGGCAAGCAGATGGTGGGACGGAGAGGGTGGGGCTGGTGGGCATGCTGCTTCCTGCACCTGAAAAATAATAAGCCCTCCCCCTCTAATAAGCCCAAGGCCATATTTCGTGGGACAAAAAAATATAAGACCCTGTCTTATTTTCAGGAAAACACGGTATATGCAGAAGATCATTTTTGTCTTTTTCAAACAATATGGTTTGTCACTGTCTTGTTCTAGGATATTTCCCCCCGCTCAATTTCACAGATAAGCTTAAAGTTATTTTGTCAAGCTTAGAAAAGATGACCTGTAAACAGAGGATAGTGCAGAAAACTCTTTTTCCCCAATTCATTTCCATCCCATTTACTTTTACAGGTATTACAAAGCAGTAGCTCTTTTTCATCAGCTGTGGTACCTGCTGCTATTCACAATCAGCTCCGTATCAAAATTCTCCTCTACCAACTACCTCCACAAGACTGTGATGTAAGCTTCTTAAAGAGTTTGCCGGGTCTTTTTTTACTTGTGCATCTCTTGATTGAAAAGTCCTGCTAATACTATTTTCTTCTGTCCCTTGTTTGCACTGAAAAAAGTATTTGGGCTGTCCATTCTTTTCAAATTCTAGTCATACCATCTTTCTAAAAAAAACAGCAATAGGAGAAGCATTCTTTCTCTTTCTTTATATGGTAACAAGGAGAAAAGGTAACCAAACAAATGTTTTAAACAGGCCAGAGTCACTTAGGTGAGATGGATGGTATAGAAATTTAATAAATAATAAAAATGCACTAACTTGGTGATTCAAATGCCTATGGGGGAAGAGAGGGGACGAATGATGAAATGTACACAGTAACAAAATTTTATTCTTCATGTTCTTACATGCAATGCAAAGTTGCATTGCATTGCATATCATGACACGGTTTGTCATTTTGACATCACTGTGATTGGGAAGATATGTTTGTATGGCTCCTATGGTCCCTTGTGCCAGAGTCCCACTGATATATGCATCACCAAACTTACTTGCAACTAATGTTCTCACCAAGGTCTTCTAGGATAGTGGTCCCCAACCTTTTGGGCATCAGGGACCGGTTCTGTGAAGAGAGGTTTTTCCGTGGAACGGACAGGGCATGGTTTCATGTGCTACTTGCATTCTGCAGATGGGGCTTCGCTTATTTGTTTGGCCCGGTTTTTGGCATGCTGTGGACTGGTGTCAGTCCACGGACTGGGGGTTGAGAACCTCTGCTCTAGAATACTCCGGTCAAAAGCTGACTGAGGATTTTATTGCTGTTACCAAGAACTAAACAAAAAGAGATTTCTGGCCCACTGAAATAAAGATAAATTCAATGTCTTTTTCTGTCTACACAGAATATTATTTTTGGTATGAGGTAAAATTTCCCTCAGGTCTAGCTCCTTGATGACTCTATGCAGAAGATCATTTTTGTCTTCTTCAAACAATATGGTTTGTCACTGCCTTATTCTAGGATGTTTATTTATTTACAAATAAACTCTGGGTTCACATCCACTAGGTAGTAACTAGCTTTGATTAAAGCTATTGTTGCAGTGCTGTTCTAATGACGTAGCCAATTCCTAGCACTTTCTTCTCAATTTGGTACCCTCCATATGGGCAGGACTGACTCCAACATTAATGTCAAAATTAGCACTCAAATATTAAAGATATCACTAAATTTGGAGACACTGCCCAGCAGAGGTGGGTTGTTCCCAGTTCAGCCCAGTTTGGCCAAACCGGTAGTGGAATTCAGGCCTGGATCGCAGAACCGGCAGTGACCCAGGCCTGCCAAGCCCCTGAACCGGTTCCCTCGCTGCCACTGGGCTGCCGCCATTTTGGGTTTTAGTGGCTGCATGCGCAGTTCACTGTAAATTGTTCTCTACATAAAGAACAATTTACATTGAACAGCATGCACAGGTTGTGAACCAGTAGTAAAACTAGCAGCAACCCACCCCTGCTGCTTTTAAAATTTTTCCTTCCAAGTAATGTGTATTGGACAAAAATAGGATTTAGAGAAAAGCCAAACTGTAATCCTTTATCTATTCACTTAGGAATTCGTCACATTTGACATAGTAGGATCTCTTCTGAGTAGATGCGCATAAAATTCCAGAATCATGTTAGAGAAAAAGAGCTAAGAGTCTACAGAAATTAACTGCCAACTAAAATATAGCATTGGAGTTTATTCTTAACATACGTATACATGATACGGTCTTGACTAATAAAATAACTACATGCAGCAAGATCTTCATGTAAATATTTACAAGCCATTTTTTTTTAACCAAGCTGACCAAAGACATCGAATAAAGTGCAAATGTGAAAATAATATTATGTTATTATAATAAGATTCTCAATCATCTATGTCATGGTTGTTCCAAATGTGCTTTTCAAAAGGCAGCTGGACTTTCGTGGGTTTTCCCCCCCTTCAAAACGTTTCGCTTCTCATCTAAGAAGCTAAATGAGAAGCAAAATGTTTTCAAGGAAAAAAAACACAGGAAAGTCTGAAAATAATCTTTTACAATAAAACTTCAAAAATATTTGCTAGTTGCTCAACATTTGTCTGTTTTGTTCCTGCATCTCAAATATACATTTTTATCTAGATGCTTCTTTTGAATCTTGGCATCACTTTTGCTTTTTTTTTTTAAAATTTAAGGAGAGATATTGTCCCTTCATTGGTGAAGAGGAAAGAAAGCAACTCCGTACCTTTGCTGCATGGCGGCGGCAGGAATCGCTGGGACAGGGAGTTTTACGTCATCTGCCTCTTACAGCTCAAGAGTACTTATGCAGAAATGTGAGCTATTCTTACCATGATATTGGACATGTTATGAAGTTGTCTGGGCTGATCTCTATCTCTGTTGTCCCTATTTAATATGATCTTTGCAGTTATATGAATTTTGGATATGGTAACAGGTGCAGGTGGAAGTTGTAGGTGTCATGCCTGCAAGCCATCTTTTTGGACTTCAGGCCTGCCACACTTTCTACTGTGGGAAACTGGGAGATTATGTGGAGTTGGGTGATATGTAGCCATAACAACATTCTTCTAAGAAAGTCAAGGTCATCCTTTGTCTCTGCCCCTTGGTGGAACTGGATCGGTGGATTCTGTCTTCATGGCAGTGGAAGATTGGACCATGTGATGAAATTGTGGGTGTTGGGGCAGGATCTTGAACTTTCAACTGGGTGGGAAAACCTGGAAGCCTTCAGATTCGGTTTTTCCCAGATGTGCCAACCTGACATCTCTAATAAAGTGGAACTTTGAGGAAAGTCAAGCCTCAGAGTTTTATTTCGTTGGGGGTATTTTTTGGAACCCTGACAGTAGGTCCTTATGTCGAAGAAGGTATATTTGAAAAAGATTAGGCAGTGTTTACTGAAATCTTAGAAATGCAACAAATGACTATATAATATTTGTACTGGTTGGAAGACTACAAAGTGGTTGCCGCCTCTGTTATGAAATACAATATATATTAGACAAAGCAGCAAACACTATAGAACTATACGCAGAAAAAACAGCTATGCAAACAAGTGCAATTCGCTAACATTGCATTATGCATGTTCCTTTCACTCACAATTTAAATTGCCTGAGTAAAATAATTTGATTTTAATTGTTGAATTAAAGCATGCATAGCAGTCTTAATAGTTTACAGAAGGAAGAAAGTTATAATTAAGGCTCTTAGATAAGGAAATTCTTTCTGCTCGATTTTTAGTGCGATAAGAATATAATCAGAGGAGACCAAGGTGTATTTGCCTCTAAGCTGGGTGAACAGTGCTGGTGGCATCCTACCTGCTTTGTCTGCCACGTTTGCCAGCAACCACTCATAGATCTCATTTACTTCCATCGCGATAATAAGATTTTTTGTGGCCGGCACCATGCAGAATTTTTCCGCCCTCGCTGTGCTTCATGTGATCAGGTAGGTATGTTTGTGCTCTTGTAACTAAATCAACTGATATATCTAGCCTGGCCATTTCCAAATCTAGATTGATAGGCTGGAGCTAGAATTCTATTACCCATTCAAGATATAATGGAATTTTTAGTTTCCCCCCCCATCATAACTCGAGAGATTTTATTTTGGAGGAGATTTAACCATGTATCTCTCTTATCCCCTGTAGAAATTCCTACATTTACTTCCCTTCACTTTTTTGTAATTGGCAATAGGGAAGATAATTAGGTACATTGTATAGGACCGTGATGGCAAACCTATGGCCACGCAGGCCAGGAAGATGATGTCCCAGTTTCTGGCGTGCGCATGTGCACCGGCCAGCTGGTCTTTGTGTGTGCATGTGCACCAGAAACCGGAAGATCAGATGGCCGGTGTGCATGCGCACACCAGAAACCAAAAGATCATTTTCTCGGCATATGCACGCTCCTATTTCGGCATTCGGCGCCAAAAAGGTTCACCAACACTATTATAGGAAGATAGAACACTTAAAATATGCAGATACCAATATGTTACTAGTGAACTTTCAGAATTCTTGACTGTGCTAGGTAGTGATAATTGTCATAGAAACATCAAAATAAAACAGGCAAAAGTAAACAAAGTGTACATTTTTAACATGGTTTCAAGCCTGATAACTTCGGAGAAATTTAAAGAACATATTATGACCTATTTGATATATATCAAGGGAACATTATCAGTTGGATAAATATGGTGTATTTTTAAGCAGAAAGCTTGATTTATAACAGTGATGGTGAACCTTTTGTGGTTTGCGTGCCAAAAGCAGGGGGAGCACAGGGGGGTCTTGTGCGGGTGTGCCATACCCATAATGCTATGTGCACGACCCCAGCGCACATGCGCTCATGACCAGTGGTCCCCCCCCCATTTTTGGTGTGCTTTTTTTGCCCTCCCCAGGCTCCAGAGGCTTTATAGGCGCCTGGGGAGGGTGAGAACAGCCCCCCCCCCCGAGGCCCTCTGGAGACTTCAGGAGCTCCCTGAAGCCTCCGGAGTGCGAAAAACCGGCCCTATGGGCAAACCAGAAGTTCAGGAATGGACTTCCAGTTTGTTCATAGGGCGGTTAGCCCTCCGGAGCTTTCAGGGGCCTTCAGGAGGCTTCTCTGAAGGCTCCGGAGAGCAAAAAACAACCCTATGAGCAACCCGGAAGTGACTTCTGTTTTTTTTGCCCTCCGGAGCATTCAGGGAAGCCTCCTAAAGGCTCCGGAGGGCTAAAACCGGCCCTACAAGCAAACTGGAAATATTTTTCCCAATTTTCTGGTTTGCCAGTAGGGCTAGTTTTTCGCACTATGGAGGGGTGGGGGGGGCTGTTTTCACCATCCTCAGACTCCTATAAAGCCTCTGAAGCTTATGGAGGGCAAAAAATGGTCTCAAAAGAAGGCCGAAGTCAGCTGGCCAGCGCGGTCATATGCGCTGGCCAGCTGACAGGGCAACACTTCACTGCCTGGACAAATGGGTCCGCGTGGCACACGTGCCATAAGTTCGCCATCACGGATTTATAGGATAGGGTCACTGCAAAGGGTTGAGTAAATAATAGTCGTGTAGCCTGTGCTCTTAGTTTAGGAAGAAAATTGATCTTGGTACACTGTGTACTTCATCTTAATATTTAGTTCATATCAATTTGAGTTTTCATCTTTTATGTCTCTTCAGCTGATCTTCACTTCCGAGTGCGTGGAGGCAGAAGGCATGCGCTGGCATGAAGAACACTTTTGCTGTCTCGAGTGTGACTTGCCCTTGCGCATTCAGCAATATGTGATGAAGGGTGGACAACCCTGCTGTTGTGCTTGCTTTGAGAGTCTTTATGCAGATATCTGTCAAGCCTGTGGTGAGATTGTTGGTAGGTCCAGAATCCTTCTGTAGACTTGTGAAGGAAAGTATGAATCTGCCTCAGATCATCACTCCATCTAGATCAGTGCTGCCTATTAAAGAGTGAATCTGGCATGTTCTTGCAAGCAAAGCATGTGCACAGAGCTTATGGCCCTTCCCGTTTTTTAAAAGTATCAACTTGCCTAAAGATTGCCTGAATGTTAATCAAAGGTTACTTGGAACTACGTGATTATAAAGACACACATGGGCACTGGAGAAGATAATGGGAGGGGGAAGTGACATGATCAAGATGCAACATGACACAAAACTTGCTATTTACAGATTTGCACAAGCTACCGTATGCAAGTACATAAGAATATAATTCGTCTTAATGCCATCACTATGGCATTTGTGCCCATGACTCAAAGTTTTGTCTGGTAGATATTTTAATTATTATGTATTTGGTGTTCATAGTGTTATGAGAAAAATGCTCACTTAAAAGAAGAACCAAAGCATTTGAAAATGGAAGCAACGAAGCATACTTCATTGGAAATTACTTGTAATGATCATTGGGCTCCCTATCAACAAATGGAGGAGAGATTCTGCAGTAACCCTACTCTCCAGATTATATTAGTATTGAGATGAGATAAATACATTGATGCAATTATACAGCATCTTTTCCTGTTTTGATAAGCTTTTAGATTCACCTTACTATTATTTTTGACACTTCTAATATTCTCCATGATATTATCAATGTGTACCATAAACATCAGTGTTTAAATGATGATCTCTTGTGATTTACCTCTCAGTGTCTGTTACATTACTGTCTCCATTTTAAGGCCATACCACTAGGTGTTAGGTTCTAAATTCAAATTATTGCTACCAAACTACACAAAAAGCTAAACCTTTACAAAAGAAATTGACAAGCTTTAATATGCCCTTTATCACCACGACGGGTACATTTTATGTCTAATTTAATAATTAGGCTAACTTCTCCTTACAATTCTTATTGTTGCAAATATTAAAATCTGTTACACTTTACTATGACTAGATCTTCCATTCTGCTATTTGCAGCTGAAGGTGTTACCTTCATTAACAGGCTGCTAGGATCAGGTCATATTCTAGGCAAAAGCAATAACAGTAGTAGTAATCTAAACAGAATTACATGTACATTGTAAGTATCTTAGATAATGCGATAGTTGCAATGCTAAATATGTATTTTGCGTTACTTTGTTGGATGAAATGAAAATCTCAGTACAAACTAATATCACCGAGGAGCTTTCAAATACTGTGATAGGTGTCAAGCATATCGTAATTTTAGATTCATTTTACCTCGGAATAATATGGTTAATTGCTTATGATGACTGCCTAAATTATAGTTTATTAGCTAGCTTTTTCTGGGTTTGACAAATGCTGGGGTTCATTCAATGGATTTTGTGGCTGTTAGCCATTGGTTTGTGGCTGGAATCCTATATTTGCTGTCTAGGAATAAGTTCCATTGAAATTTTCAGGGAGTGGTTGTTACTGAGTGAGATAGTATTACAGTAGGAATTTAATCTGTTTTCAAAGCCACCTGATAATACAAAATACTGGAAGTTGTGGTTCAACAACAGCTGCAAGGCCAGAGGTTTCTCTCCCAAGATATGAACCAAGAAAAGTAAAAAGCAAAACAGTAATATAGAATCAATATCACCAGTGCTGGAAGGAACACGGTGGCTTAGTGGCTAAGACACTGGGCTTGTTGATCAGAAAGGTTGGAGGTTTGACTCCCTAATGTTGTGAGCTCCCATTACTTATTCCAGCTTCTGCCAAACTAGCAGTTCAAAAGCATGTAAAAAATGCAAGTAGAAAAATAGGGATCACATTTTTGGGAAGGTAACGGTGTTCCATGCGCCTTCAGCGTTTAGTCATTCGGCCACATGACCATGGAGACATCTTTGGAAAGCACTGGTTCTTCAGCTTTGAAATGGAGATGAGCACCGCCCGCTAGGTTCGGGAATGACTAGCACATATGTGTGATGGGAACCTTTACCTTTTTATCACTAGTGCTGCTATATAGCTTTGTGAAGTTTGTGAACAAGGTTCACAATACTAAAACTTAATTTAGCGTGCAATGCCGCTTCATATTTATTAAAAAATTCTAATTTAATATATACTATTTTGTTGTCTTGTTTACACATTTTGAAACTTGAATTTTTATTCTATCTTTTAAAAGTCTGCAACTTAACAGACAGAATTGTTCTTAACCAAGTTAGGACATAGTTTTCCAGCAACAGTGCAGGAGGTAAAATGCTTGTTGATTACTTTCTTCTCACAGGTGTCAACAGTAAACAGATTGTACTACAAGGTCAACACTGGCACAGCAAAGACTCGTGTTTCTGTTGCAGCTTTTGCCGTAAAGCACTGCTGAGTCAGCCCATCACCATTCACAATGGTCTTCTCTTCTGCTCTGAGGCCTGTAGTTTGGAAAAGGAATCAGCTTTGTCTTCCAGTGGCTCGGATTCCTCTGACTCTGCTTTCATCTCTGCTCCATCCCCAGACTTCACCCCAATTTCAAGAGCTAGAAACAGCAGCCTTGACTGCTCTTCCAAAACTGGGAGAACTCAACGAGATGGCCGTGAGGAAAGGGCAGGTGCAGCTGGTAAGGCTCTTGTATATCATCCTCTAGAATTTGGGGGGAACACATCAGTGGTGGGTTCTGGCCGGTATGGGCGTACTGGTGGCAGCTGGGAGCAGCGGCCACCATACCGGAATGGTGTTTTGGTGCTCCCCCCCCCCCCCCGTTCCTTACTTGCTTTTAAGCCAACCAAGCCACTTGCGCACGCACAGCATACGGCACCTGTGCGACCCCCCGTGGAGCAGCTGGAACATCGCAGGGTGATAAGTGTGCATGCGTGTGCAGCACGCTTGCCTGAGGTGGACACCCAGCCCGTCGCATCATACCAGTTGCGACAGGATCCGGAACCCACCACTGGAACAGATGCTATTGGATCCTGCCCAAATGAAGCTTTTCTCTTATTTGAATCTCTCTTGCAGTTTTGTTTAAGATTCTGCTGGTAATATATCCTCAATATACTTCCACTGAGCTTCCAACTAACCTCATCACTGCACATTTGAAGGCAATCTATGACAGTGTGATGTAGAAAGAAGGCAGCTGACAACTATTATCTGTCCTCATTACTCAGAGATTGCAGATGAACATGTGCTATATGAAGCAGGAAAAAACAAGGAGGTTCCAGAGCTTCAGAAATAGCCAACTAATCATTGGCTTGATGGTAGCTTCCAATAGATAACAATGGCAATAGTAGTAAAAATGGTACATTTGGATGAAAATGACATATAATAGGGAAATTCTTGAAATTAATGGAAGCTAACACTGGGTGTAATTGGTTACATACCGGTATCTTAGATGTAAAAACAGATTTTAATGAATTCAGAACAGCAATAAATAACAGGAGAAACTGGGAAAGATAAGTAAGAATTTATTGAACACATGTTTTTAAAAGCATAATTGCAAAGAATTCCAATGAGGGGAAAAATGTAGATAGCATAAAAAACCAGTATAATTTCCCCAAAAGCTTAAGGAAGATCTGAAAAGTTAAAAAGGAGGCTCATTAGGAGAGAAGGAAGAGGCTTGCAAACATGGAAGACTAAATATAGACATGTAGATGATAAAACCATAATTAAAAATGCTAAGAACAATCAATCAGTTATGTTTAAAAGAAGTAGTGTTCCAGTTGTTCCATGCAAACATGGCTAGAGAAAAGCAGTTATCTCTATCTTCAAAAACTGAAGAAAGGAGAATCCAAGGAACTACAGACCAGGCAAAATTTTAGGACAGATTATACAGTTACATTAGTAGATTCTAACTGAATGGTAATCAAAATTTAAGACCAGTTTAAACTAGAGAGAAGAAGAAAGGGTGAGTTTTCCTTTGACTGTGTTTCAAACACAGGCTTTAAATTGGATTCCTGCAATGAGCAGGAGTCTGTAACTTAAATGACTCCAATTCATTGAATCTGTGAAATGGCTTCAAATAATTACTGGAACCTTTAGCTGAGTTATAAAATGGAAAGCCATAATGTTTGATTTTGATTCTGTGTGGTACCTGAGCTTAGATGCTGTAGTTTCTAAGGCATGATTTGTGTCTTAGCAAATTCTGTGAATCAAGCTTTTATGGTTTATACATCAAACCAGGGTAAAAAAATAAGCTATAATTTAAAGTAATGTGTGAACAAGCAGGTATGGAAATGTCAACCTCTTGCTAACTCATTGATACAAGCAAATGGTTATTGGAATGCTTTCTAGGAATTATTCAGTAATCAGGATCATCCCCACTTCTCATAAATGCTAACCTTTAATTCCTTTTGCAGTGACTGAAAGGCTTCACTCATGTGGTAATTCCTCAGTGTATGCCGAGTTTGACGGCCAGGAGGAATCAGTATCTTTCAGAAATAGAACTATCACCCCACAGCTTCATGTATTTGAGTCATTGACTGTTTCACCTCAAGAGGATGTACGAATCTCCATCTCTCATCCCATGGACACACCTTGGAGCACCACAGTTGTGAGGGGTAATCGCAACTTGAAAACATATTTTCAAGAAACATCTCGGCCACAAGCGGACTTCCACTTCAAAAGCAGGCACTCTGTAGCCTCACAGGCATCTGTATTAATTATGGATTTTCCAGACAGAATATACGAAGGCAGCCCTGGGGGAAAGGAAGTTACTATGGAAGATGATGATTCCAAGTACCTCACTTGCTCATCCTCATCCTCTTCTGACTCTGAGCCAGAAGGTTTCTTCTTTGGGAAGCCAATTCCAAAGCCTGGTTCCAGATATGGAGCTTTTGCCAATATGGAGCAGGAAACACTTGGGAAGGGAATGGGGTGGGCTGCCAGAGCAAGAGCCAATAGTAAACACTGTAGTATATCCTAGCAGACAGGCAATGATCAGCCATCCGAACAGAGTGAAGCAAAGGGGAAGAAACGGTAATGAAGGCAGATCACAATCTGCAATGTGTAGATTAAAATTAGTATCAGAAACCTGGTCAAAGATGCATGCATGAATATTCCATTCTCTTCCTGCTGCAAGGCTAATAATTCCAAGTCCAAAATGCAGATTAAAAAGTCAGCATTTGTTTTATAATTTTGGATGCCAGAGAGAATTATTTCTAATGAGTCAGCACGTTTTTATTAAAATAAAATAAAGATAGCTGCCATCTTGGCTTTAAGAGCTCTAAACCACTTTTACTTGGCTCACTCAAAAGAGTTTAAAATTCTTAAATTTTCTTCATCCCATAAGATAGATGCTGAAGAAAGAAAAATGCTACCTGCTTCTCAGACTATGTATTACTGTATTTAATGTTGATATTGGGTGAAAAGCTACGGTATTCAAGCTTGGCTCTGCCAAGTACCAAGAGCATTTCAGGTTGACAAGATTATTACTCCAAGTTTGCTCTGAAGAAATTAACCACTTTCACCTGTCAAGAAACAGGTTTGATCTTATACTTATTTTCTGTACTTAAGATGTTTTTCTAAAACATTCTGCTTCAGGACTTATTTTCATGTTGACTCAGATTTCCTATCTCAGCATCGCATACAGTCTCATTTGAATGTCTGCAGCTGACTCCCACACACCATCAAGGCTAATTAAACACACACTTGTGGCTGGAACATTAAGTCACTGTAACAAACTGGGGCCTCCTAGAGCAGCACTTCTGATTGGATGTTGCTTACTATATCTTATTACACAGATTTGTATGTTTTGGAAGTTAAAACAATGAAATAAAATACAATTTCTCAAATGAGATTTTTGAGGTTAATATCATACAGTGAAATCAGTGGGTTAGGAATTGAAGCAACAGTCTATAGAGATTTTAATGTCTTCAAATCAATGACAGGCTAAGCAAGTTCAAAGAAAAGTGGGTGGGGTGAGTGGTTTGGAGATGTGATTCACTTTTGGTGGAGCATAGAGAGTTCAACTATAGACAGGAAGGATAGAAAAATAACAGCAGATGTGGCATTGAGGCCTCTTATCAGACCGTAGGAGGAGAAATGTATTAAGGGCAGGGGTGAAATTCAGCAGGTTCTGGAGAACCAATAAAGGAAATTTTGAGTAGTCCAGAGAACCGGCAAATACCTCTGGAGTGGGGTGGGAATGGAGATTTTGCAATACCCTCCCCCCCCCCCCCGGGGGGGGGGGGG